AATTTTAATCCAGACAGCTTTCTGAACGAGGAACAATTAAAGGCAGGTTTTGCTTAAAAGTTAAAACTCAAGGATGGATCAGTACCGACTGTTCGTGATTCAGCTGCATCTCCAGAAGAAGTAGGTCTCACATTTGAATGATTATTTGCAAACCGTCTTTCCTCTTCTAAAGAAGAGAGGGGTGGGGTGAGCAGAGCTCATTAGCATTTAAAGAGACATTCACAGAAACGGGTCACTATGTACAGAGCTGGTTTTGACAAGGTAAAAAGGGTGTTGTTTTACACTACCATTGAGGAATTTTAACCAAAGTATGTTACAGACATTTCATGAAGACCCTAAAGAATCATACCAACTTGTGGAAAATGGGCATCCGATGTCCCCTTTAAGTTTCACCCAAATTTTAAAATGTGTCCTGTATTCATAATATTGCTTTCGCCAGTGAAAATATAGGGTCGTCTGAATCAGGAGAGAAATATGCACCGATAAAGCACTGTTTAGAAGTGAAAACAGTCCAAAATCATTCAAAACAAATACGTTGTTGGATTTTGATATGAAAATACAACAGGGTATGGATTTTTCCACTGGAGGAAGCGTTATGGATTATGGTGGTCAGAACAGGTCGTCGCCTTGATGGATTCTTACAAAAACAGTTTTTTGCTTCACAAGACATTAATTGATGGACTGGAGTCATGTGGATTGTGGATTATTGTGATGTTTTTATCAGGTGTTTGGACTCTCATTCTGACGGCACCCATTCACGGCAGAGCATCCACTGGTGAGCAAGTGATGTAATGCTACATTTCTCCAAATCAGTTCTGATGAAGAAATAAACTTATCTATATCTTAGATCTTCATTTTTGGTTAAGCTATTCCTTTAATACTTGTATTACAATTTTTTTTACTATATTATTAAATTACTGAGAATCTTCATTGATAATGATACAAAAAAAACCCAACTAAAACTAAATGCATTATGGTAATGAGAATGGGAGCACAATAATATGAAGTAAATATTACATTTATTCTAATATAATGGTTATAATTTCAGTCATGTGGTGATGGAAGTTTGACTCACTCTCTCCAGTCATCACGCCCTGTGTGTACCTCTTGGGCAGCATCCCAGTGTAACCATAGAAACTGGACTGCTGCACTGTAAAGGTCAAAAGTACAATGTTTACAGATCACAATAGCACAATGTAGGCCAGTCGCAAGAGCATGCTTGCTTGTATATATTTACCTGTGCATCCAAATGCAACAATGGCAATTGCGGCTAGAGTAAGAGCATAGGACTGCTGAGTGTCAAACAGCTCCAACCAGATGTCAAATACACTCACAAACACCAAAGGTCCCAATGCAAATAGATATCCTATTTATGCAACACAGGATAATTAGTGATATTGCAATAAAAAAATAAGAATCTTTGTGCGTATATGTAGAAAATGGTGCAGAGGAGCTTGTGAGTTTGCCTTAGACTTTATTTTGAGGCAATTTTTGCATGTTCTCACCCACACAGATGCGTGTGTTTAAGCTCAGTCTCTCCACAAGAGCGTTGTTCACAATGACAGCACTGAGAGCCACTAGAATATACGTCAAACTCATGTCGAACACAATAGAGGTGCCTGACAATAGAAGAGAAGTATTTTGACTGTGCAATGCATAGCTGTCATTTATCGACCTACAGCTCTGTGAATTTAATTTAGTCTTTCCTGTGATGTGTGACAGGTTGGTCGCATCACACCTGTGAATTTGCGGTGGAGGTAGTCCACATCGGTGATGAAACTATTGTATGGCAGTAGAAAGCCAACACCAGCCAACAGCATAGCAAAGTAGATGGCATGGTGGCGATCATCAGGAATGGATTCCTCTGAGTCTGAAAAGAAGACTTAAATGAATAGCAACCAGAATGACAGAGGAACTTGATCAACTTGAGCCATGTTTTAATGAATAAAAAACAACTCAATGCTTTTGTGTTGTGCATGATGGTGTCTTGCACTAATGCAGGGTTTCCCATAGGATTTGCTTACAAAAAGCTAATAATTCATTTACAAAAAAAATTTAACTAAAATAAATGTTACCAAACATTATGAAATTTTTATTGCTTATAATAAATATTTTTAACCAACATCAGAGTTGTGAATGTACTTGTGGTTGAATTATTAAAATATTAACTTAAAATCTCAGGGGGAACTTCAAGTATATATTTAATGTCAAAAAGAGTTTGGCTGACAAAAGAGTTTGGGAATCCTTTCACTAATGCATGCATTATTTCAGAAATCCATGCATCATATCCACATACGATATAACCTTAATGCATGCATCAAATACCTCAATATATACACACAGATTTATGTGTATGTGCAATTTAATGTATTTTGTATGAGCAATTTTTATAGTCCTGATTAGTATATTCGGTTATTGCTTAATATTAACTGTGTTGTACATAGCTCACCATGAACACTGTGAGATTTTATCCAACCCCTCTTCTCCTCCTCTGGCAGCTGACTAAAGCTGAAATTCGTGATCACAGCCTTCTCTCTACCCTGCCGATTTCTGCTCCACTCCTCAGAGTACATGCCTGGGGAAAAATGCCAGAATTCATATACTGGAAAAAAAACATGTATGCTTTAAATATATATATATATATATTCTTTTGTTTTATGCAACCAAGCATTGCAGTGGTTCTGTATTTGTTCCTACACCTGTTTTCATTTGAAGCATCTGGGCATGAATGTGTTGTTTCTCTCCTACCAGTTGACTTTGTACAACCGCGCGCGGTTTAAATTTTACGGCATGTTATGAAACACAGTTAGATTAGTCAATTGGATTAACGTTAGGTGATAAACGCAAGATTAACGTTGACACGTCGAGGTCACCTGACAGTTCCACCAAATCTATTTTTAGACATATGGATCCTCAATGTCATAGTGTAATTTTTGACGGCGGGAAAATAAAATTGAGATACTATTATCACATTGCTGTTGGAACGACGGATCATTTGTCTTTGGGGTTATTTGACACGCCTCTATACATACTGGCAACTAAATGCAATCGACACCTACAGTATGATAATAACTGAACATCAATCAGAGCTGTCGCTCGCTCTCGTGAATGGATAACAGGTCTCTTACCTGATGTTCTAATGTCATTCACTTCCTCAAGCGAATACTCTTTCATTAAGATCCAGTGTCTCGATTTCCAAGCGGTGTTATTTGACGATGCTCGTTTTCTGCTCCTTCATTCTCTCTCGAGGCTCCCCGCCCTCCTGAATCATCACGCGCTTAACAATTGATCACCGGGGCTAGTTGTCACACTTTCTATAGAGGGGGTTCATTTCTGTATAAACACATAGTACCTTAAAATATTGGCTACAAAAATAAATAAATAAACCTATTGAACTTTTCCACCGTTATTGCCCAGGAATTTATTTCAGCCACACTGTAACTGTCTTGTTACAATAAAAAACTACTTTTTATATCACTGATTCGAGATGAATTTCAATAAATGAATAAATGAATGAATGAACATTTATTTTAAATAAATAAAATTTATTTGAAAGGTTACACTCTTAAAAATAAATATTTGTATTGCCGTATGTGGTTTCATGAAAAACCTTTAACGTCCATGAAAAGGTTTCTTCAGATCAGTGGCTTGCTATTTTTTAGATGCTGCGGACCCCATGATCATCTTCGTGAGGGACCTCTCTATAGAGGGGGTTCATTTCTGTATAAACACATAGTACCTTAAAATATTGGCTACAAAAATAAATAAATAAACCTATTGAACGTTTCCACCGTTATTGCCCAGGAATTTATTTCAGCCACACTGTAACTGTCTTGTTACAATAAAAAACTACTTTTTATATCACTGATTCGAGATGAATTTCAATAAATGAATAAATGAATGAATGAACATTTATTTTAAATAAATACAATTTATTTGAAAGGTTACACTCTTAAAAATAAATATTTGTATTGCCGTATGTGGTTTCATGAAAAACCTTTAACGTCCATGAAAAGGTTTCTTCAGATCAGTGGCTTGCTATTTTTTAGATGCTGCGGACCCCATGATCATCTTCGTGAGGGACCTTACAAATGCAGACATGGTTTTATGTTTACGCGGCGCAATACGCAACGCAAAGCGTAAAAAATACAGTATAAGTCATTACAATCAGTAATTATGTCCCCACTGGATGCAACAAATGCCTCGTTTGTAATGGGTTTGATTGGTTTTGTCTTGTCGCACCGGACACATGGGAACCATAGACTGTATGATGGAAACACAGTATGATAAGGGGCGTAACATTTCTGTCACACGCTTGAGGTATTCGGGCCAATCACAACGCACTGGATAGCTGGCCAATCAGAGCACACCTCGCTTTTCAGACCGATGGGCTTTGTAAAAACCGACGAGTTTCAGAAAGGCGGGGCATAGAGGAGAAACAATAACGTACATTATGTGGAAAATAATGTGTTTTTTTAACCTTAAACCGCATAAACACATTGCATTACACCAAATACACAAAATAATGTTCTTTTTAGCAACATCATATGACCCCTTTAATATATATTCACTAAACTGCAATTTCACCATTACAAATGTATAATTGCAAATACATGACATACAAGTTTCGATACAAATTATTTTAAATATATATTTTAGTTTACTATAAGTGCCTATTACATTTGGCAGTACACTTTAACCATATTTCACTTTAACCACATTTCAAAGACAATAAAAGTAATTATGAAATTACATGTAAAGATGTACTTAAGTGGGTTGAAAAAAAACACTTTTAAGTTAATCTAATTGCATTTAATATAAATTTAAATTAGAATACATTTTCTCTTAATTTCAATGAACATGCAATTGTCAAAAAAACATTACATTTAATTCACACTTAAGTATGTACACACTTAAGTATGCACTTTAAAAGTATATTATTTTAATAATAAGTACTCTATTGTGCTATTAAAATGTTTTTTTTTACAAGTGCCATATAAATGCAAGTATATATTATATGTCTCTTTGTTCTATATAAACCAATACACATTTTAATGTATTTATTTATTTAAGTAATTAATTTTTTTGTATGTGTGTGTAGCTGGCTGAGGCATTAGTTCTGTTTGAGGCTGATATGCTCAAAGGCGAGAGGTTACAGCTTGAGGAGTACAATTACACTGTGCTCATCGGTGGATGTGGACGTGTCGGCTACCTAAAGAAAGCCTTTCAGCTGTACAATAATGTAAGATGACAATGCATTTTCACATATCATTATTTATATTAGATGCTGCTGCTAATGATGCATAAATGACACACTTGATCTTTAATTGATTCTGTTTGTATGTTATATTATCACTCAGATGAAAAAGCGAGGGATAGAGCCATCTGATGCTACATACACTGCGCTGTTCAACGCTTGTGCGGAGTCACCATGGAAACAGTCAGGGCTGGTACAGGCATTGAAGCTCAAGCAAGAGCTTCTCAAGAAGAACATCCCTCTCAGTGCCATTACCCAGCATGCTTTGCTCAAAACAGCTGCTTTTGCTGGAGATCTGAAGTCATGCTTTCAATTTCTGCGGGTATAAAACTAATGTCAAAACACCCTGTGATGTGATGATTAATTATTATTTTTTATTCTTTTTGCATTAATGCCACAGTAAAATCATTTGGTTTGTGTGTAAATGCATGAATAGGAGATGCTTCAAAATGGACAACCCATCACACAAGAGACATTTCATTATCTACTTATGAGCTGTGTGAAGGACAAGCAGCATGGATTCAGACTGGCTTTACAGGTATTTAAACACACCTACTGACTAGAAACACATATTAGTATTGATGCATAAAAATTTATTTAAAATGTTTATTTAGCTGAAAATCAAAAATGATAAAGTTTTGGTCATTAAATTTGGCTAACTAAACTCTTTATGCTGTTGTTAGGATGTTTAGGATGTTCTAAGGTGCTAAAATAAACCAGTTCTAAGAATAAACCAAAGTTCGTTGAGAGGCAATGAACTGCCTATATTTCATATTTCAACTGAACAAATCAGCTGCCGATATTTCAGCTTACATATGGCTGCTCTTGCTACATTGCTATATCATTTTTGGTGATGTAAGTACTTTTTGGATCTTTTAAGTTTTGGCTACCTGGATTTTCAGTGAAGGGACAGGAACCTCTCAGGATTCATCAAAAAGAAATCTTAATTTAGTTCTGAATATTAACATTATGGGCCTTACAGGTTTGGAACATGAGGGTGAGCAAATGATAAGAAATTAAAAAAAAAATTTGTAAGTATTTTTACTGTCATTTGTTCTCTAGGTGTGGCACCAGATGCTTAGGATTGGAATAAAACCAGACACTCAAAATTACAACATACTCCTGCGGGTAGCACGGGATTGTGGGATAGGTGAACCTGGTTTGGCTTCTGCGTTGCTACTGAAGAGAACAGAAGAAGGGGCCCTAAAACTCACAAGTGGAAGGAAAAGCCAAGTCAAAGCACAGGCATCGTGTCAGCCCTTACATATGGATGCATTTGAGCACAAACTGTTTGTAGACACACACACAGAGCCATGGTCAAGCCGAAGAGACTGATTTCCCCCTTCCGAAGGAAAAAGATCAGTGCAGAATAGACGCAACTCAAGATGAGACTCAAATGCTGCCTGAATCATCAAATGGCTCTCTGACCTATCAATCACAAAGTTCCCACCTCCCAAACCTTCTAGACCCCAGCACTTGCCACTCAGGTGTGGTTGCCTTGGGACCTGTGAGTAGTGCTACGGATAGACTTGCTCTGATTGGAAACCTTGAAGGCTTTTTGGAGAAAATGGCCAAAGATGGATTGGAGCCCAACATCAAAACCATTACACTGTTGGCTGATGTCATGGAAGCTGGCAGCCAATCAGTGCAGAGTTTGATTAATGTGGCCAAAAAGAGTGGTGTCACGCTGAATAAGACATTTTTTAACATTATGATCAGAAGGGTGGCCAAAGCTGGAAACTTAAATGGGGCTAAGGTAAGAAACACATTCAGTTATCTGTTAATAAAGTTACAGTAATGTTGCTGTAGCTCAAACAGTAGAGCATGGCATAGAAACACCAAGGTCATAGTTAGGGTTAGAGTTATAGGAACTTGCCCAGACTCTGGAGTTTCACCAGCCCTAATTCAGTCAGCATAACTATACCACACAGACAACTTCATTATCATAGCAATAAAGAAAAGTCCACATTTTAAGTATTTATGGTTGACTAAGAGTAACCACAAGGAATGGGCAAATGGGCAGGGGCACCATTATAAAACAAAGGTGATATTAAACAGCTGCAGTCCGTAAGTTTTGCCTCTTTGTCGCCATCTCTGTTTGAAAATCTGGAATTGCAGATTCTAGCCTACCTCTTGGAATATGACCCAAATAAGAATTTTCACCATATATTGCCATCTGAACAAGTAAGTAACAAGTTTGCCAAGTTTGTTCTGACCAACTGAGGAAAAGAGCATTACCATAAATCTCGCTAGTTGCTACCAATGGTGATTAAATCTAAAGATCGGTTAACTCATATCACATCAAACCGTTCAAATTATTATTATTGTTATACTTTATTCTCAAATGATTAATGTTAACAACATCAGCATTGGTGACTATGGGTATAGTGTGTATTAGCGTGTAGATTTCAATTTCTGCACAGTCTAATCTAATTGTCATACTCTTCGAATTTCATATTAAGAAATTCTTTTAACCCAAAAAGCAAATTATGCTCCCTTCGAACTGGGTTTCTTTAAAATACATATCTTTGTAATCCCAGGCTATCTGTAATCAAAAGCACATTTATAACTGGAATATAATTTAATTTCATTCACATGTGTTTCATAAACATATAATACTTTATGGATTACAATCCGCCATCAAAATTATACATTTAATTATCCTGGCTGCTGTGAGAAAAGGCTACAAACGATCGGCCACCTGCAGGATCCTCACATGTGATAGCCTAGTAGCCGGGACAACTTCTTTATGTTTACAGACATGACGTAATGACGCAGTGCCATGCTCGAATTTTCTGCAAAAACCTGCCCTTACCGTTCTAATTAGAAAACATTATTACAAGCTAACCGTTGTTAATCGGGCTAAAGTAAGGTGATAGTTTTAAACACTGGCTGGTTATGTACTTGCTAAAATATTGCTTTCGGATAATTTTTAACCAAAAAAAGTTACGGGCTGCAGCTTTAAATGTGCACTTCCTCAGCTTGAATAAGTTAAAGCTTTCTGCCTCACGCTTCATACTAGACGTTAATAAATCTTTCATACATTAGCTCATCCATGAACATAATTTCTGCCCGAGTCCCATCGGATTGCTTCGGCTGTGGGGATGAACCGAAGACGACAACTCTCATGATTCCACACTCAGTCACGGTGTCATCTAACTACGCCTTTGTTTCTTTGTTTGTTTTGAATACACGCCCTCTAGAGGTGAAAAATTACATATTGTGTCTTTAAGTGGATAAATGCATCTGCTAGATGAATAAATGTAAACAGATAAATAATAAATAAAAATACATAAAGTGCCTACCAAATGCTTAAATGTAAATATATGTAAATATAAATAATAACAGATTTTTCTCTCTTTAGGCTGTAAAAGCCCTTATGGTTAACAGAGGGCTGATTGCAAATACTCAGATGTTCTGTAGTATTGCTCTGGCTTGCCGCAGACAAAAAGATGCAATGCAGTTGCTTACTGAAATGGAGGTATGAAAACCAATATCATCCTTTTATTATTTTTCACCATCAGGACTTCGTTGCTGAATAACTCCTCTTATTATAACCAACTCTTTCCAACTTTCTTTGAGCTAAATATTTGAAGCTGTGTGTGTGTTTTTTTTAAGTCTTGTGGACTTTTGCCAAACACTCATCTATACAGTGCCCTGATCAGCCGGCAGTTAAGCGTTTGGACTATGCTTATCTGCACGAACTTCTTCAACACATGCACAAACTGCAAGTGCCACCCAATGATGTCATCATCAGACAGCTGGAGTTTGCAGCTCAGTATCCTCCTTCCTATGACAAGGTTAGAAACTGAAACTACACAGTTATATACTGAATACAACTGTGAAATATAAACCTGCTCAGCTACTTACTTATACTTTGCATTATTTATATACACAATTATATGGATATAGGACAAAATGGTAAGAAAAACAGAAATAAAAACTAAATCTGTATATTTTCTGAAGAAAATGTGAGTGGTGCTTGCCGTGGTAGCAAGAATCAAATGAGCCAAGCCCCATGTCTATATGTTCTGATTCAAAGATATAGTTCTTGCTAAATGGTTGCTAGGGTACTCTGTTTGGTTGTTAGGGAGTGACTTGGCAGCTGCTAATGATGATACTGCTTGCCAGTATGAATGATATAAACGAACCTCCATGTCTCTATGATATTCAGATTTGAAAATATTCCACTTTAAGTTTGGGTTGCTAGGGTGCTCAACAGTGGTTGCTAGGGCATGGCTAGGAAGTGGTGAAGGTGATGGCTGTTGGCTGTTTGCGGCCCCGAGTCAAATGAATCCACCCAAATGTCTCTACAACATTGTGATCCAAAGATATTCATCGGGGCTTTTTATAAAGGCAGTCTATGGGAACAGTTGCTAGGGTGCTCTAAATGGTTGCTAGGGTCGTGGCTTGACAGCTTCATGATGATCTAGAGAGACTGATTGAATAATAATAATAATAATAATAGACAAACATCATAGTAATAGTGATGCCTCGCAAGCAAGCACCATTAATAATAATAATGAAATTTCAAGTAAATTATTAAGGAGTATAATTATTTAATGAAATCACAATATTTTAAAAGCAAAATCTAGGTTCAGTAAAATTAAATACTTGCAATTTGTGAATGTTTTTCATGTTACTGACCTATGAGCAGGATTATGACTGCCATGGATGAATTATGGCTTGTATCTTTCTTTCTTCAGTTAAAAACAAAACACATACCTGGACAAGATTGACGGCTTCCGTGGTTTTTACAAGCAATGGCTGGAGTTTATGCCTGGCCAGGAAACACCACACCCCTGGGAAAAATATCGATCCCCAAAACCAGAAGCGGAACAAGATGGAGTTACCTCACAAAATCAAGTTTCTAAATATATCAAATTCCTGTATTGTTTTGAAGTATATCCATGTGACACCTTTTCTTGATTTTTGTTGTCTTGACCAATAAAGTCTGATTTTTGGCATCTGAAATTTCTTGATTTGAGAGGTTTGGATTGTTCTGTTTTAAGTTATAGCTACATGCAACACGAAGGTAAGTGCCAAAAAGTTAACTGGTTGCTATGTTGCTTAAGCCGATCCGCCATGTAAAAAAAAAATCATTTTTTTAATATTTTTAAATTGCTAAAATGTTCAAAAAACATATATAATATCCATTTCTGATGTCGCCAATAATTAGAGATGCACTGAAATTCGGCTGCCGAAAATTAGTTCACCGCTCAGGTTTCACTTTCACGTGGTGTGACGCTCTGCGTATTTTCCACTCTATGCGTGTGTGTGCTCCACTCAGTCGCTCACGGCCCATGTGAGTGCTCCACTCGTATACCGTTCAAGCGAATCGGAACAGCAAAGTTCACTCAAAAATTGTGCTGACAGGAAACATCGATGTAGTACAGTATTGTTTCTGTCTGCAATAGCCCTACTGTGTTGTAATATGGGCAACTCTGGTAACGCTGCCCTCTCATTCATTGATCTGCTAACTGCTATGTTATGCTCACATGTTCTGATAATAATAGCTTTCTAGGACTAAACATTATTTGGATAATTGGTAAAAAAATATATTTTTTAAAAATATCTGTAGCGAATCAGCTCATGGGGAGATATGAATAATTAAGCATAACTAGTTATAATTAACCTTTTCCACGACATTCTAATTTATTGAGATGCACCTGTATATTGGGCCTTTTTATCTGCACTTGAACTGGCTGATTTTTGCTGTTGGAACTGAAAACGAAACATGTTGTGTTTCTTAAAGAGTTAATTAAGGTCTGGTAATTTCTTGACTGCCATTTGCAAATATTTGACATTCAGTGCCGCAATATTGTGCGGGGCTATTTTGTCCAATTGGATCTTTGTTCTGCAGTGAGGGGCTACTGAAATCAGATGCACTCGTTTTCTCAGAAGCTTGCAGAAAAAGGCTTACCAAAACAAAGTCACTGGGTTGATCTTTTTCACATTTCCTTGGTTGGTAGATGCACCGGGGACCTGATTATAGCACTTAAAACCTGGAAAAGTCCGATTTTCATGATATCACCTTTAATAGTTTCTACCTGTTGGGTTAGAAACATTTTTTGTCATGTGTAAAATTTTCTTTTACTTGATTTGCCATGTTTTGATCCGTTGTTTTGTTGTATTGTTCTCTTATTTGGGAAATTAATTCATTTTTATAATTTGATTTGGTCACTATCTAATTTTAATGAGGTCCTTACGAAACGGATCAACCTTGGTTGACATAGTAATAGATTTCTATGACATTCTTTTGGCAGTTAATGTTTTTGGGCGGGTTTTTTCTTGGAGTGGGCGGGTTTTGGAAAGCTTTTGGGCTGACAACATTTCCGATTTTGTCAGAGTCACGTGAACCAGCTTAAACAAAGCGCCAAACTTTGAACGCGAGCGGTCGCTGACGGTTCATTCGATAAATCATGTAAGTTTTTTGACTGAGTTACAAAATAAATCGAACGAAGTAAATGTTAAAGGGTTTCTTACGAAACGCACACAATGCCAGCTGAGTTAGCCTGGTATTAGAGGTCGTTTCCTTTCATTGTCTGTCATGTTTTGTAGGACGGAGCACGACATACCTATAATCATTTTGAGCGATGATGATGATGATGAAGAAGGTGACTTCTGGATGACCCACAATGATTCCTCTGTGCTGATCGTTGAAAACGAGAGGAACGAAGCAGGTAATCTGTTACATAAATATTTAAACACGACACTAACAAAACTAAAAGTTATCGTGAGCATTCACTCGTGCCATAAAAGAACCATACCATAGGCCAATACCATGTGTTCTTTTGCATGTGCTGTAGTAGTAATGCCATAGTGTTTTTTTATGACCATGGTAATAACATTTTTTCCTTCTTGTACAATAGCAGTAACGTTACTTCAACTTCATTAGCGTACCATGCTATAAATACTATGGTATATGAATACAGCAATCCTTCAGCAGCACTGTGGTGTTCTGTTTCTGTTGATCTCAGATGTATCAAAACATATTGAGGAGTTGGATGAAGATTTGATCATCACATACACCCAAACTGCAACAGTGCTTCCACACGCAAGATACGACTGCACCCTTGCATTCTGGTCAGTAAAACAGTGACTCCTCTCTTATGTAAAGGACTTGTTTTGTGTTTGTGAGTGTTTATGTGTCTTTGTGCGTTTGGTTTTTCTAGTCGAGCAGAGCAGGACGTTTCAGGACCTCTACAAGATAATGGAAAGCACTGTGATCAGTGTTTCTGCTATATCTGTGACAAACTGGCGTCCATGGTGAGATCACTGTCTTCTAACTTAAATCAGACTCTCATTTCTGTCTAGGGTTTGCATTAGTGGATGAAACTTGTATGCAAATATCAGCTTATGACAAATCAGAAGGGGAAAAACTAATTACGTTTTTGCATAGAAGAAGTGAATAATGTTTTGGGACCAATAGGATTATTCATATTTTTTATTTTATTTTTTGTGACCTAAATTAATTAAAATTGGCGAAAAGAAATGAAATCAAACAGTCAAGGAAATTCACATATGAAATTAAAGTCAGGAAGCAAAATTGTCAAGTAAAATGTATATGTCTGATACAGGGTAGTATTTTACAACTGAAACATACCTCAGAGAGCTACAAAGATGAGCTTTAATTAAAGGATTAGTTCATTTCCAGAATAAAAATGTATTCACCCCCATGTCATCCAAGATGTTCATGTCTGTCATTCTTCAGTCGAAAAGAAATTAAGGTTTTTGAGAAAAACGTTCCAGGATTTTTTTTTCCATAGAGTGGACTTAAACAGGGACCAACGGGTTGAAGGTCCAAATTGCCGTTTCAATGCAGCTTCAAAGGGCTCTACACAATCCCAGTCGAGGAATAAGGGTAAACTGTCTTATCTAAATAAACAATAAATAAGATAAGTAAAAATGTATATACTTCTTAACCACAAATGATCGTCTTGCACTAGCTCTGCAACGTGCGTCCACGACTAAACGCATTACATAATAATTTTGGAAAGGTCACGTTTTTTCCTAGTGGAAAAAAACACAAACGGACCATTTTAAACAATAAACTGATACAAAGACATATAAATATGTGTAATTTTCCCATCGGTCCCTGTTGAAGTCCACTATATGGAGAAAAATCCTTGAATGTTTCTCAAAAACCTTTGCTTTTCGACTGAAGACAGAAAGGCATGCACATCTTGGATGACATGGGGGTGAGTAAATTATCAGGAAATTTTAATTCTGGAGTGAGCTAATACTTTAAAACCGTATTTATTCAGTAAAATCGTATATATTCATTTATCATGGAACAAAGACTTTGGATGTACCAATGAACAGATCTTCATAAGGCATTCTTCTTTTATCTTATACCTACACTTTCCAGTTCATCTTCATCCACACTGGTATTCCACAATATGCTTACCTTACGTACGTGAGTAATTTTTAATTGGAAACATTTTATCTGACTCTAGACCAGGGGTGTCAAACTCAATTCCTGGAGGGCCGGAGCCCTGCAGAGTTTTGTTCCAACCCTGCTCCAACACGGTAATGTCATTTTACCATGTAGTTTTCAAATAAGCCTGAAGGACTTGATTAATTGGATCAGGTGTGTTTAAAGGGGTCATATGATGCGATTTCAAGTTTTCCTTACTCTTTGGAGTGTTACAAGCTGTTCGTGACGTGAATAGATAAGATCCCTAAAGTTGCAAAGACTAAAGTCTCAAACCCAAAGAGATTCTTTATAAAAGTTAAGACTGGTCCACGCCCTCCTAAAACGCCTCGTTCAAACACGCCCCCAACATGTCTACGTCACGATGTGGGGAGATTCACATAACGCAGCCCAAATGTTAATGCAAAGAAAAAAGATGTAACTTTATTGTTGCTGCCGCCGCCATGTTGTGAAGACGCTGTGTGCTTCGTTGTGAAAGCGAAAATACTTTGTTTGCTCTTCCAAAAGAGGACAGGACTAGAAATCAGTGGTTAAGTTGTATTTACAACACTGTTCCAGAACACTTCAACCCAAATATTCAGATGTGTGTAACGCATTTTTATGGAGGACTGTTTCCTGATCCTGGGAGAGTCGACTACAATGTGGCTGTTCTGACTCACAGCCTGTAAGTACATTTTCATATTTAAAGGATTTGCCACTGATGATTCAAAAGTTTTGAGCAGTGTAGAGTAGCGCTTGTTGTTTGTCATTTCTCCGATCACTAATGCAGACATGGTTTTATGTTTACGCGATGCAACGCAATAGTTGGCCAATTAGAGCACACCTCGCTTTTCAGAATGATGAGCTTTTCAGAAAGGCGGGGCATAGAGGAGAAACAATAATGTACAGTATGTGGAAAATTTGTTTTTTGAACCTTAAACTGCATAAACACATTTCATTACACCAAATACACCAAATAATTTTTTTTAGCAACATCATATGACCCCTTTAATTAGTGTTGAATCTAACTCTTCAGGGATCAGGCCCTCCAGGAATTGAGTTTGACACCCCTGCCCTAGACTCTTCCCAGGCCTACTGTCCTTGACTACAGAAAGAAACATTATTTACACAGCATTTGCAGCTGTTTCTCAAAACATTGGCAGATTAAACTTGAAACATGAGAGACAGAAGAGAGAGAAAAAAATAATAATAATTATTATAAATGAAATGTAATAATTCACTCATATAATATTATATATGAGTCTTCTACCAAGAGTGTGATGGAATGAGGGGTCCTGTGCTCCGTAGTTATCTGAGGCCTTGCATTTGATTGCCTCCAGACAACATCTCTATGCTTATCAGTCAAAAAATAACTCTTACATGTACGGCATGACCTCCGTTGGGCAGCAAACTTCTTGAAACCTTCAGTTCATCCCCTTGCAGTTAACATTCTCTATAAGCAATTATTTTGCCCTCCTCCGCTGATTCCTCTGTCAAAAGCATCATATGTGACCCATGCTGGCAAAATGAGTCGGAATGCGCACAGGCTAATTTTGAGCTACACGCAATAAAAGTGAAAAATGTTGAATTTGAGGTTTTCACAAAAACAAGTTCATTACGCCCTTGTCTAGCGATCCCAATGCTCCGAATAGTAATTAAACATCTAAAATTATCTTTATCTGTACGTTTTCTGAGTGGAGTACCTTTTCTCTACTCGCTTCTCAGCTGACCTGCATAAAGGCGCTTCCGACAGTGTGCGATCCCGATAAATATACACAGAATTACAGTATTTAAGTATTTACGCAAACATAATCTGCTATGTCTTAAGTGAACGTTTGGGGAACTGTTGGGGAAAAGCATCTGATGTGTAACATTATATTAGATCCGTGGATCACAGTAGGTCTTAATATAGGCCTCATGTTAATCTAAGAATAAAAGAAAAGAGGGAATCACTCTGCTCATGATTGAACTGCTTTTAGTTTTAATAATCAGTTTATTTGTAATGAACACTACAAAGGGATTTTTACATTTGCTTATTTTTTCTTACTTTAAAGAGCAGGTCATATGGGTTTTTGAAAAATATATTTTTTTGCAGTTTGTAACGTAGCTATCCTTCAATGTAAACAGTCTGCAAAGTTGTTAATCAAAAAAGTGCACGATAAATAAAGATTGTCTTTCAAAAGAACGAGTCGACTCTGAGCCGCCTTGAGTCATCATATTTTCGAGTCTTCTGCCTGTTACCCATGTACGTCACAAGGTAACACATTTGCATAATCCTGCCCACAAACACTTCCGCTAGTTAATGTGTTTACATGTCGAGAAGACGCTGTGTTTTCAGCCTCACTGGGCGTTCTAACATGGTTCCCAGTATGTGCACCTCGAATAAGTAAATAATAATAATAATAATAATAATGAATGCAATAAAACTGCTGTCACATCATGTGTAGGCTTATGGAAGGGAGGGGTTTGCTCCGAACTTGCTTGGAATGAATCGTTTCGAAATCATTGGCAAATGACTCTATTAAATGTATGTTCTGAGAAAATTACAATGTTTTCTGACCTTAAATGCTTTTAAAGGGGTGGTTGACTTTTTTTTTCTAGGCTTGATTGTGTTTATGGGGTGCAGTCTAACATGTGTTAATGCTTCGTTTGTTAAAAAAACGCATTATTTTTCACATAATTTACCTTTATTCCACACCTTTGTCCCTTCTCCTCTGAACGCACTGATCATTTCCTGCTTTTATGAAGCCCCTCCCTCAGAAGTACACGATGGGCTCTGATTGATTAGCTGGCCCACTGTGTTGTGATTGGCTAAACCGCCGGTTCTTGACGTAACGGACCCGGGAAGTAACTTGTTGTAGTCCCTTACCAGTCGTTTTTGTAGGCATTAAACTGCCAGAATTTATCTCCGTTTGCATTGAACTTTCAGCTTCGTAACTTTGCAGATATTGTTTATGATCAAACAGCAACATTACACACTAACTAACATTAAAAAAGTGAAATCGCAATCAACCACCCCTTTAAACCTGTTGTAGGGGACTCCAACACAATATTAGGAAACTTTAAAATACCATATGACCTGCTCTTGAATGCGTTTGTTTTGATGTAAAATGAAAAAGGTAATACATTAATTGTTTAAATTTGTTTTATATTTGTTCTACCGTTTTTATTTTTGTATTTTTTGCATCTGTTCTGATTTATAATAACAAAGAAGATCAAATAAAAATAACTATGTTGTGATTAATATATATTTTTTGCATCTGTTCTGATTTATAATAACAAAGAAGATCAAATAAAAATAACTATGTTGTGATTAATATATATTTTTTGCATCTGTTCTGATTTATAATAACAAAGAAGATAAAATAAAAAATAACTTGTGATTAATATATATATTTTTTTGCATCTGTTCTGATTTATAATAACGAAGAAGATAAAATAAAAATAACTATATTGTGATTTGTTAATATAGTAATTATAAAAAAAAAAAAAGAACTGGAGGAAAAGATGCAACGTTGCTAGGTGATTTTGCTTTGGAATCTTCAGAAAATGTTAACTCTGCTTTTATCAAAATTTACTTTGCTGACTATCAACTTCAAACAGGTGTAGCTCAGTCATTTTTCGTTCGATTCCAACAAAACATACATAATTTTGAAGGTGTTTTAATGGATGTGACAAAAAAACATTTTTTTTTTTAATTTGCTCATTGGGACTCGGAGTCCTTCTACCAGAAGCTTCCGCTGCCTTCAAACTGCACATTGCCAAAAATGTAACACCACATACGTAGTGCTTTTTTAAATGATTTGCTTGCTAATACAGTAATTGTTTAGTTGTGGTCTGCTATTGATTGAATAATGATTGAATTGTCTTTTCGTTGGCTGCAGTCTGAGTGTGCTTCCTTGGGATGATCCCTTGCTCTCTGCTGTGATGAAAGGTCAAAACATCACTGGAGAGAGGCAGGGCAAAGGTCGGAAGCATAAAGTCTTGTGTGAACCTCTGGTCGTGATTCAAGCGAGAGTCTGTAAACTTCAACAGCAAAACAAGTAATGCCCCTTCCTTAGTGTACTTTTCATGCTTTGTTTACTGTTTATTAAAACACTCTTCATTTACTTGAATGATATGTGCAATAAATCATATAGAATTTGCGCACACAAAGCTCAGCAGCCGTCATTCAGGTTCTATGCATATTTAAAGAAAGTGTTTTTTTTTTTCATTACTTGGAGTAATTTAAATAATGTAGCAACAACCAATAATAGTTTAGCAATGTGTTTAATACATTCTACCCTATTTAAATCCATTCCAGGGTTTTTTCCTTGTAAAAAGCACAGAGCTTTGACATTGCTGTAGCCCTTGCCAACACTAATAAAATCATAATCTACCCTTTTTAACATGTTTGTTAGATACCGTGAGCTGGCTCGCTATCTCAAAGTTGTCAAAAGCATCAATAATCCCATGTGAGTTCCAGCTGCGTATTATGAACATACATTGTGTTATATATGCAGATTATTGTTATTACTATTTATGGTACATTCTCATTGTATGTCTGTCTGGGATTTAGGCTGCAGAGAATGAAAGACTTGGTTCCCCTCTACCTGTGTAAGGTAAATTGAAATGAAGCCGTTTCCTTCGGTGGTTTCTACATTAATACATTTCATTTTCACACTCCTTTTCAGACATTAACCAAATTTTCATTTTTGGGTAAACAATTTTTTAAAATTTACTCACCCTCACTCATCCTCTGCAGTGAATGGGTGCAGTCAGAATGAGTCACAAAAACTGATAAAAGCATCACAATAATCCACATGACTCCAGCCATCAATTAACCTCATATTAAGCTTGAATAAATTCAAGATGTTTTTAACTTTTAAACTTGCTTCCAGCCTTAAAGCTATTTCATCTGAATTGGGAGAGAAATATGCACAGATCAAGCTTTTTACAAGCTTTTTTTTTTTCTTTTTCTTTTTTTTTTACACATGTGTAGTTTGATGTGAGCGGACAACAGGAGATGAACTGGAGGAAGAGTTTTTATGGATTATGAACTCCTATTTTTTGTCCAGAAGCGATGGTTTAAAGTTAAAACGTCTTGATGGATTTGTTTCTTAGAAGCATGCAGCTTTTTGCTTCATAAGACGTTAATTGATGGACTGAAGTCGTGTGGATTGTGATGTTTTTGTCACTATCTTCTGATAACACCCATTCACTGCAGATCATCCATGGGTGAGCAAGTGATGTAGTGTTGAATTTCTCCAAATCTGTTGCGATTAAGAAACAAACTCCTCTACATCCTTGATGTCCTGAAGGTAAGTACGTTTTCAGCAAATTTTCATTTGAGTAAGCAAGCTATTGAAGTCATGACTCTCTGGGGTTTTCTGACTTGCAAGGGATTCATGGCCAGTAGGCAAGGACCCGTTTCCTAAAATATAAACCTAAGTCTGTAAACTTCAACAGCAAAACAAGTAATGCCCCTTCCTTAGTGTACTTTTCATGCTTTGTTTACTGTTTATTAAAACACTCTTCATTTACTTGAATGATATGTGCAATAAATCATATAGAATTTGCGCACACAAAGCTCAGCAGCCGTCATTCAGGTTCTATGCATATTTAAAGAAAGTGGGGTTTTTTTCATTACTTGGAGTAATTTAAATAATGTAGCAACAACCAATAATAGTTTAGCAATGTGTTTAATACATTCTACCCTATTTAAATCCATTCCAGGGTTTTTTCCTTGTAAAAAGCACAGAGCTTTGACATTGCTGTAGCCCTTGCCAACACTAATAAAATCATAATCTACCCTTTTTAACATGTTTGTTAGATACCGTGAGCTGGCTCGCTATCTCAAAGTTGTCAAAAGCATCAATAATCCCATGTGAGTTCCAGCTGTGTATTATGAACATACATTGTGTTATATATGCAGATTATTGTTATTACTATTTATGGTACATTCTCATTGTATGTCTGTCTGGGATTTAGGCTGCAGAGAATGAAAGACTTGGTTCCCCTCTACCTGTGTAAGGTAAATTGAAATGAAGCCGTTTCCTTCGGTGGTTTCTACATTAATACATTTCAATTTCACACTCCTTTTCAGACATTAACCAAATTTTCATTTTTGGGTAAACAATTTTTTAAAATTTACTCACCCTCACTCATCCTCTGCAGTGAATGGGTGCAGTCAGAATGAGTCACAAAAACTGATAAAAGCATCACAATAATCCACATGACTCCAGCCATCAATTAACCTCATATTAAGCTTGAATAAATTCAAGATGTTTTTAACTTTTAAACTTGCTTCCAGCCTTAAAGCTATTTCATCTGAATTGGGAGAGAAATATGCACAGATCAAGCTTTTTACAAGTTTACAAGCTTTTTTTTCTTTTCTTTTTTTTACACGTGTAGTTTGATGTGAGCGGACAACAGGAGATGAACTGGAGGAAGAGTTTTTATGGATTATGAACTCCTATTTTTTGGCCAGAAGCGATGGTTTAAAGTTAAAACGTCTTGATGGATTTGTTTCTTAGAAGCATGCAGCTTTTTGCTTCATAAGACGTTAATTGATGGACTGAAGTCGTGTGGATTGTGATGTTTTTGTCACTATCTTCTGATAACACCCATTCACTGCAGATCATCCATGGGTGAGCAAGTGATGTAGTGTTGAATTTCTCCAAATCTGTTGCGATTAAGAAACAAAGTCCTCTACATCCTTGATGTCCTGAAGGTAAGTACGTTTTCAGCAAATTTTCATTTGAGTAAGCTATTGAAGTCATAACTCTGGGGTTTTCTGACTTGCAAGGGATTCATGGCCAGTAGGCAAGGACCCGTTTCCTAAAATATAAACCTTATATATATATATATATATATATATATATATTCCCCTCTTAAAAAAAGGAAATGTGGTGGTTGTGGACCCCAGGTTCAAAACTCTGAAATGATGCATCATTTTTTGCATATAATCAATGGAAAAGTTAATGATCGTGAAAATGCCCCTTTTTGAGTGTTATGTTTGTGTGTTTAGGATGGTGACTACACTGGTGCAGTCTGCCATATGTTATCACCAATGCCCGGTGCCATGTGCCTCGCCTCCCGTCTCGCACCTCAACAGTTCAGATCTTATCTCAGAATTCTCACGTCAGGCCACGCCCCTGATGTAACACAAGAATTTGATACAAGAAATGGCCATATGGTCATACCTGATCCTTTACGGAGCACTAAGTGGTCACCCATCGAAGGTAGATAATTGACAGTATTCTTATCCTCTTGTCAGAAACATACATGGAAATAATGTCTGATCTGAGCCGGTAGGTTCTGATCATATGAGCTTATCACCATTGTGTTGCAAAGGCACTTGCGGGATTAGTTTATGTTGTTTCAAACTAAATCATAGCACTTTCATTGAACATGTAAGAAAAACGGACAACTCTTAATCGTTTATGTACATTAAAATAGTCAGGTGTATTCAACTTGTTTGTTAAAGAAACGGGACTAACTTGGTGATAAGTGTGACATCACAGCCTCTGCTAACAAATAGGAGTTGAGATATATTTGAGCGCTGAATAAATAAGCTTTCCATTGATGTATGGCTTGTTAGGATAGGACAATATTTGACCGAGATGCAACTATTTGAAAATCTGGAATCTGAGGGTGCAAAATAATACAAATATTGGGAAAATCTCCTTTAAAGGTGTCCAAATGAAGTTCTTAGCAATGCATATTACTAATCAAAAATTAAGTTTTAATATATTTACAGTAGGAAATTTACTAAATATATTCATGGAACATGATCTTTGCTTAATATCCTAATGATATTTGGCATAAAAGAAAAATCAGTAATTTTGACCCATACAATGTATTTTTGGCTATTGCTACAAATATACCCCAGCGACTTAAGACTGGTTTTGTGGTCCAGGGCATATATAAACTTAAAAAACATCATCTTAATATTTTAGGGCGGTTATTTACAAAGTAGGAAAGCCAGAAAATCTTAAGTTCTGCCATTTTTGTTAATAATCATGGCAATTTAATATAGAAATGCCATTTGACATAAATAACATACTTTTCTCTTTTTAAAGACGGAAAATGCCTGGTTTTCCAGTCTTTCTTAATCCTATTCAATGAGGAAAATTAATTTATACATTTGCACATGCATTTCTCATATCAGCAGTAAGCGCAGAAAGAATTTCAATCAGTGGATTGAAAATTCTGCTGATTTGCAGCTAGACAGCTGTGGATCACATAACTTTCAGATGCAAGTGATTTTTTTTTATGAGCGGGAGCATTCAGATGGAATGCTTAATATGTGATTTGTTTCTGTGCCTTCATTAAAGGTTCAAATTCATTCAAGATGATGGAGGTACTGAAGTTTGCACTGAGGGTTCTGGACTGTAACAGCATTGTTTTTGCTGATGTAAGTAAAATAGTATGTTTTTTTTAATGTAACTTAATATTTCATATGCAAATGCTCAGTTAACTTTTTTTTTTTTAACACCCCTGAATGAATTTAATACTTTTACCATTATATTTTATTTATTTTTATCACTAGCTACCAAAATATTCTTTGCATTTATTAACAAAAATGTTTTCGTCTCAGTGTCAATTAGTGTATTTTGCTTTTTTCCCCCTTGCATACTGAATGTGCAGCAAACAGCTCAGGTCATTGTGATACAGCATCAAACACCAGTTAGACGCCACCTGTCATAAAAACATCAAAGTCATTATTTTCCCCCTTATTAACTCTTCATGTATGTTGGTTTAGTAGGCTTAATGCTCACTTGCAACTAGAGTGTGCAGTAAGTGCTCTTTTAAGGTCTGGCATCTTTTATAATGGATGACTCTATATGTTTGTAGCCAGAAACGTGGGTTTATCTCCTCAGCGTTGTCAGTTCCAGTTTTACTACTCCAGATGGTGTTCCTGTTGGTGCATTCTATGCCGAGCCTGACGTCACGTATCAAACGGTGAGGAGAGTGTTTATTTAGTGTCTGTCTGGATGGGGAGAGGGTTGGAAAACAATACGAGATGTTATGATGGAGACTGATAATTGTTTGTTTCTGCTCAGGGGACCAGAGATGCTGCCAGTGCAATTCTTGAGGAGCTGACAATGACTTCCCGTATACAGATCCCCAAAACCTTTGAAAGTGTGAGTTTTAATCAATGAATTCATTCTTTGCAATTTTTATTTTTTTTTTGTCTAAACCTTGGATTATTGGTGACTGGAATTTATGTAGGAAATGACACTATCTATTAAGCAGCTTTTCTGATGCCGAATATTATTCCAGTATGTCTGTCTGTGTATGTTGTATTCTATATATTACCATGTTCTTAGTTATTATTTTGGAATAAATGTAAGAAAGAGATTTCGCAACCTCATTTCAGAACATCATTGCATTTCATATGTGACCCTGGACCACAAAACCAGTCTTAAGTCGCTGGGGTATATTTGTAGCAATAGCTAAAAACACATTGTATGGGTCAAAAGTATTGATTTTTGATTGATCTTTTATGCCAAATATCATCAGGATATTAAGTAAAGATATATTGTAAATTTCCTACTGTAAATATATTAACTTAATTTATGATTAGTATTATGCATTGCTAAGAACTTTATTTGGACAACTTTAAAGGAGATTTTCTCAATATTTTTTTTATTTTTTTATTTTTTTGCACCCTCAAATTCCAGATTTTCAAATAGTTGTATCTTGGTTAAATGTTGTCCTATCAATGGAAAGCTTATTTATTCCGCTTTCAGATGATGTATAAATCTCAGTTTCTAATAATTGACCTTTATGACTGGTTTTGTGGTCCAGGGTCACATGTGTGTGTATGTGTGCATGTATATAATGATTGCAAATGAAATGCACAATTTTTTTAATATGCCTGACAGTTTAAATAATACTTTAGATATTTTTCATAGTTTTTGATAATTGGTGCAGCATGTAATGATGTTTTACTTTCTTCCCATTAGGGATATCCTGACCAGGCTAGACTACTGTTGGCCACTCAGGCTTTGGTTCTGCGCATTTTCCACTCACAGCTCAGACCCATCCTCAACGTCATCATATCTTTCAGGGTGCTTATTTTCTCTAGTTTTTAGTCAACACGGGTAGGGATGGGCATTTTTGTCAATTTCTTATTTCGATCATCAATAGGTTTAAAAAATGAAGCATGGCCATAATAGAGATAATGAAAATATCTGAAGACAGTTATGAAAATGAATGTTAAAAATGTAATTATGACATGAAAACGTGTCTGAAGACATGAACACATGATTAGAACACTGTTAGATTATGATTGATGCAGCAATGTTATTAAAAAAAAAAGAAGCATCTAAAAAGGAATAGCTGCCTGAGGTGAAGCTGATTTATGCCAATAAACTGAAGCCTGTTCTATGACACATCCTATGATATTAATCAGATAACTTGGATACATAACATAGACGTAACATTACAACTTGTATCTGCACAAAAGGATGCAAATGCCAGTGAACTATAAGTTATGCGCTATAGTGAGAGAGAAAAGAGACCTAATTTACTATAGATTTCACATCCTATAAAGTTCTCATAATGCTTATGGCATTAATGTTTATGGCAGATTTGTGCTACATTTTCATCTACATTATCATGTGATTCCTGAAATCGCCTGCGCGTTTTCAAAGCTATATACGAAGTACAAAAACAATTTTAATTTAAGTATACCTACTGTTAAACAAATATGACAAAAAAAAAGCACTGCTGCGTTATTATAACATCAGTATTTATAAAAAAAAAAGAAACATCTAAAAGGAATAGGACCGTCTCAAATAACTCCGTCAATATCGGGCATTGCATTTAAGCATGAAACTAAACACTGGTAATATGCAGCGCATTCAGCATGTTAATAAATGTTAATATCCCAATGCATCCAATATTAGATTCATCAGATATGCATGTAGCTAACCCAGACATCACTACGGGACTTCGAAGCCATGCTTCTCTCTCTTCTCACGTCTATATTTTGGACCGCATGCTGTGGCCAGCTAAACGAGCTCAGGGTGACGCACAAAGTGCTGCTATAAAAAACAAATTTTCCACGATCATCGTTTTCATGATCAGTCATCGCTGACTCAATCACTGTTGCACATCCCTAAGCACAGGCAAGTTCAGACCTTCCATGTACAGCTAAAAACAAAAATAAGAATACTAAAAGTGTTAGTATTGTATCATCTCATGTTAAATTCAGTAGTCCTGATATTGTGCAGGCTTTTTTATGTAATTGTGTGTACATTTGCTTTTAGTTCAACCGCTGGGCGCTCCGTTGGTTCTTCTACAGTCTGCTGGTGAGGCCAGAAGTGCTGCACTACCTCCTTTGCTGTCTTCTGGAGGAACTGTCTAATGAGCGATACCAACTCCTACAGAGGTAAGGGTGTGTGCTTGCACACGTTCACCAAAACGAAAACCTTCATGTTAAGCATGTACGTGCTTTATATCCACTTCAGAAAATGGACTGAAACCGAACATTCCCTGGTTGCGTACTTCCTCTGCATGTACTTCTGGGAAAACAGCATTGTCCTGGACCTGAACACCTATCCTACCAATAGCCTGCTTGCCACTTGGAATGAGTAAGAAGCAGCAGTACATCACTAGTCATATGTCATGTCATTCATGCTTTTTATTACATAATCATCTAAATATCCATTTCATATTTCAGCACAGAGTGTTATAGATGAATGAATATTAAGAGGCGATTTCTAATGTAATGTTAGATTGCGCTGGATGTTTTGAATATTCCTGATTTACTTTGTCCAGAGGGAAATAAAAAGGATGATTGGGGATAAACCAGGAATGCCACTATAAAACAATTTAGCAATTGGATCATTTGTTAAAATTAAGTACATATTATGTGAAAATGAATGTCAACAATTTCCAAATGCACTCTTTGATTTCAGATCACACAACCCTTGGCAACTAAGCTTGAAACTGTATCTTGAATGCAATGTAAGAATCTTTTCCCATTAATTCATGTCTTGGTTTAATGTAAACTTACAAAGATATATTTGGTTAAATCTCAATATATCTTGTTTTTAATGTGAGCTACCTTTCTCTATCTTGCAGGTGGCCAAACTTACTCCAGAAAAACGTAAAATCCTGCATCTAATCCAGCAGCAAGCAAAATAAGTCTGACCAGCATCCCGTTTTAAAAACAAATGGTTTTAATGTACATACAGAGTGGATTTAATGTTTTCAAAGATTATAAGTGTCAGATCAGATTTTTTTTCCCCGTTGTCCAGACTTTTGTTTTCCTCGTCTGGGAATTTACCAGTATTTTGCAACATTATGTGCAGTTACAGGACTATGATCAATATCTGGAGGATGTTAAATACAGTTATATTCCGCAACAGAACAATATACAATTCTTTGTCATTTATTTACATTACGGCTGATGTTCAAAGTTTCAAATGCAACACTGATATGAAGCTGTTCAATTTTGCTTTGTTGTAGATCATTTAAGGTTGTAAACTGATATTTCTCTGGAATCTTTGCATGAGATTAGACCACAGTATTACTGTAATTATTCACTTCAACTTCCTTTGTCAACAAAATATCAAAGCATGCAGAAAGTGTAAATATACTGTTATTGCTGGGCAAAAGCACATTTTCATTTGAAGGCAATAAAATCTATGCATAACTACGGTACGGTACAGTACACAAATTGTTGGCAAATGTAAATTTGTAAATGACACTTTCAGAGTTTGAAAACCGAGTTTGTGGTGTAGCTGAATCTGAGGAGATTGGGTGGAACCTCCATGAAGTGCATTTTGATGAGTTCAGATAAATAGTTGAGGATTTTCTTATCATCTCTGTGAAATTCAGAAGGAAACCACTGTGTCCATGTACTTTCCCGAGGCCTTCTAGGTGTATGGCAACCATGTGAAAATGTTAAAAGGAATGCTCTGGTGACGAGCTTGCTTTGCACACTTTGAGCAAACATGAAGTAGGTGTTTCCACGTTTAAAGTGGCTCCTTGGTTCCACCAGCAGGTTGATAAGAGTACCGCTGTAGGCAGGGCAGTGCAGTGTCTTTTGATCCACATCTAGGATGCTGAGGTATCGGCAATAATGGCCCAGGCAGTGATGCAAATTTGTGCGAGTCAAACAGCACATCCTGAGTAAATATATATTTAAAAAAAAAACTTACATTTTAATTATTTAAATTTTTGGGTGAACTACCCCTTAAATTTTCTAAAACTCATGGTTTACTACAGTCTCCAGACACCAATATTTTAATGATTCAGAAAAGATAAATCACTATCTGGCTGACTTAAGATTTCAGGTATGGCAGTAAAGGTTAAGATCATGATTTATTAGTATTATAGCCAATAATGGGGACTGTTTGCTTTTGTGATTTGAAGGAGGAAACAGTGATGTAACATCAGACTTAACCGGATACCTTTCTGCAGAGCTTTCCCAACATTACATTTGTATGAGCTAATCAAGATATTTTGGTTCCCTTTAAAAACAGGCAGTCAAACAAGATTAAGATGCATAGTAAATGTTACCTGTTAAAGCCGATAAGTTTCCAGTTCAGCAGGTCAGTAAGCTGCAGTGGCGTTGACGTCCAAGGTTGAATGCTGTCTCTGTATCCACTCAGATGTGGCATGTACACAGACAGTGCTGTAACCAGTCGCCTCACTGCAGCCTCCTCGCTGCCTAGTACTACCAATGTTCGGCCACTCAGAAGGCTGAACACTGCATGGACTGCAAAGGGAAACTGTCGCAAGAATTGCAACGCTGCTCGTCCTACTTTGCCACGTTTCCGTCTGGTCCCACCTTCTCTTTTATTCCTGGGACGACAAGCAGAGAAAGTGCATTCGGAGGTTGTAGAAGCAGTGGTGCCTCGATAGCTGAAGCAGTCTGAGAAATCATCAGATACTATCCGGCAGGGATCGTTTAACAACGAGAGAGGAATTAATTCTGATGCATGACAAGTATCTTGAGAGCTTGACCCACTCAAGGTCAAAGTCATAGGACAATCAGGTGGGGTTAAGGTGACAGCAGGATAAAAATCTTGTGGCCCCTCCATACAGGCCTCTCCGTGATCTTTAGGGACTTTGTTTCCCACACCGTAAACACACTCAACTTGTTTGTCCTCTTGGTTTTGAGACATGTCTTTCTCAGCAGTCTCTTGATCTGGGCTTTCCTCATTAATTGCACAAGGGTATGAACCACGCAGTTCTTCAGGTAGGATGGATTCTGTTGTGCTAAGCACCTCAATGCTGTCTTCACTGCAAGTCCGTCTGGTAGGTACCCTTCCTTGCCTTAGACCCTCCAGTGCAGCTGTAGTGGACAAAGGTGGAGGTCTTTACAGTGCTGTATCCAATGGTATATTTGAACCCTGGGATCTGAAGGACTTCTCTGTACCTAAGACCTCAATACTATCTCCGCTACTAATACTAGTCTTCATCAAAGCTGAAACATATTCCACATTTTCTAGGCAATCCGAAGTTGAAACAACCCCCCCATTTTCCATTTCAGTCTCTACTAAGGAGGTGTCGGATGTAAGGCGTAGGTTATCCTCGGAAGGGGTATTTAAAGAGCTGGGTACAGCTGGAAATTGACTAGGTCCACCCAACTCTAGTTTGATTGGCACCATTTCAACACAAGAGACATATGACTCGAGACTGGCAGGTTCACTTAGAATTGAAGGTGCAGGAAGAAATGAGGGTTGTCGGACTGAATGTTGACCGGCTATTCCAATCTGTAATCCCGCTTCCTCTTCCAAGTCACATGGATCCTCAAATAAGAAATTGGTAGATTTGAGGTTGCGAAGATGATTATGGCAGAGTTGTTGTGAGTAGAGATGGCAGGCATCTCCTCTGAATGTCCTCTCAATGGAGTACAGTTGCTGTAGCGCCTGATGGTGGAAGTAGTCATCACACAACTCCTCGAGAGTTTTAAGACGCTTGTCAAATTGGCAAGATGAAGTAGAGCTAATCAGCTGCAGAGAATGTGAGGGTGTGTTTGTGCAAGAAAAAACATTATATTCTAGCATTGGCCCAGCAAGCTGACCATGCCTTAAATCATCCAGGTCGAACTCAAAAGAATGAGGGAGGTCATCTGGTTCATAAGGAGAGTATTCAGAGTCTCTAAGCTTCCTGGTTGGGTAGCAGGAAATCTGTTTTAGAAGGCTTTTGTGTTCCTGAATGGATTTTTCTACACAGGCCAGTTCCTCACCTTTGTTAGCCAATGGCATTGGGCAAGATCTTTTGTCTTGCTTGCTCTTCCTTCGCTCTCCAATTCGTTCATCTCTATCATGTGTAATACATGACCTATTCCCTTTTTCACACTCTACTTCTGCCTTTCTTGAAAAAGATGCATTATTCAATTCTTTTTCTATTTCTCTAAGTAACATGACTCTGGTATACTCCAAATCTCTCAGTTTTATCTCCAGTTCATTTGCAAAGTTCTTCCTGTTCCCTGTTTTTAGGCATTCAGAGACTTTGGAGAACTCTGCGGAAAGCTGCTGAAATTGCTGTATAATTTTATTCTCCTCAGACGACACGTAGGCAAGGCAGAGAGGTCGCACAAACCCTCGAGCCTCCAAGTCATAGAGCATAAGGTGGTGCACATATGCAAATGCTCCTTCTCCAGAATCCCCTAAAACTACTTTTGAGTCTTCTACAAAGTTCAGTTTCAAAGAGCCACAACCTGCCAGGCTGGTGAGTGAGGTCTGATAGTCCACTGACATGATCCGAAGGGAGAAGTGGTTCAAATCAAACGTTCCACAAGCCTTGGTTTCAGGAGGAACTGTAAGCAAAGGCTGTGGCCCAACTTGCTCTGAAAACTCTGATAAAAGGATAAAGTCCTTCTTAAAATTAGCACCAGACATCGTGGACCATGGGGTGGTGTCCCCAGTGTAGGGATACATGGGAACAGACAGTTCCTCAGGAAGTGCTGAGGGGTCTTTGGCTATTTCACTGAAATATGTTTCTTTAGTGAAAGCCACCAAGTCTGGAGAGCTAATCATGGTGGTATAAAGTACTAAACAAACAAACCGAACAGGGGTGTAAGAAGTACTGTGAAATGATACTAGTTAAAGGACTGTCAAAATGTTTCCACATTATGATTTCCACAATGTATTAAGTAAGGCTGTTGATGCCACAAATGAAACCTATATCCTATTACCTTAAATTGTTCAACTTCATTCATTCAGCAGCATCTGATTTTATTGTTTATAGTTATAGATTTGGTAATCTACCCTATTTACATTCAAGATACATTTGTCAATTTTTCACATAAAAAAAAGGACTTCACTGGCTGTTTCAAATAAAATGTAAATAAAAACTGCGGGACATCCATTTGACTGGTTTGTTACTCTACTATAAAAACAATAAAACAAGTTTTTTTTTTACTTATGTACTTTGTACACTTGCAAAAAGGCTTATTTCTTTATTTGTGAAAATGTAATTAAGAGTACAAAAATTAAGCTTTATTAGTACTAATTCCACAAAATAATACTTAACGAAACTTATGACTCACATACTTTACACCCCTGAAGCCGGCATCTTCACGTTGCTGTCAAAATAGCTGACCTGATCCAGTGCAGGAGGTCTAGTTTTATTACGCATTTACAAGGACTAGTAAAATGTGATCTATCGACGCATGAAACGAGAATAACAACTACTTAAAAACCATAACAAGCCTGAACTGATCCAGTTCACACCGCTTTATAAATGACATGCCTGACGCACCATACAGACCAAGACATAAACGCAATGTCATGAAAACTGACAAGTCAGTTCAGAATAATATACGTATAAATGAACTTGCCGGTGTTTGCTGTTACAGCAATTTAAACCAATACTCGTTTTCTCTTTTCTAAAAGTAAGCTGAACTCGATGTTTAGACGTAAACAAACGTTAAAGCGCTTTCCGGAGAGCAGTAACAGAAGCAGCTTTTGCCATAGCTAGCCATGTGACACCTCTGGTTGGGGGGAGTGATCATAACCAGCTCAATCTCGACTTGTTTCCGCCTCAAACCAATTCCTCAAAATAAGCGTGGAAAAAAGGGGATATGCGCACGAGCGTTATTGAAATTTTTGGTCTCATAAATGTCAACAGTCATCAGGTAATGGCAATATTATTGGCATTTTCCTTAACACACCATAAAAATTCAATAGGCTATATTTATTTTAGTAAACAAACTTGATTTTAACCAGCCAATCTTTTTACTAACACTTAGTAAAATTCTATAACTAAAACACCATCACAGTATAACATATTTTTAGAACAGCAACTCTATAAAGTAAAGCTTTTCATTTTTGACTTTACTTTGACATTAAAAAAAACCTTTTCTTTGGGTCATTCCATAAATGTAAAAGACCCAAAGGATTATTAGAAGCCCATTTTTAGTTCATTTTTGTTTCTGCCACATTTTTTTTTACATTACTAATTGCATTTCTATAAAGTGACATGTTAACTACTGGTTTACATCCAGCAGTTCTGCCATATCTTTTTTTAATTTGACCTCTCATAAACCATAGACCAACAAGATAAAAGCGGAAAGAGGAACTATCCTAGCCTACAAAAACACTCCAAATGATAAATAGGCATGTAATCCATATACTAATTGACACGACGAGCACAAGCAGACCTAACACCACAAACAACTGTGAAAATTGTGAACAATCTCTTTATTTAGACACGCATCCTAGTAGCAAACAAGAATTCATTTAAGATAATTACTTGACTTAAAGAAGGTTATCAGTACATTCATTTCTTACCAATGAAGTGTACAGTTTGTACAGCGGGACATTCTTCTTTTGATCCATAAACAAAAACAAAAAATCATGTTCTCTTCAGTTAGGTGCAGTAAATAAAGATGAAACAAACCCACAAATTAATGATTTCTGTTATCACTCTATACTTAACACTGGCTTAATATAATTTAAAACGCGTTTTGATTTATCTAATTTTTGTAGTAAATGCTGTATTAAACTAATTGCAGGGCTCTCCATAGATCATTACACAACTGCAATGTTTTCATTGGAAAGATAGTTTACAGGGATTTAAAATAACCTAAAAATAACCATTAGGGAATGTTCTGTATAAGTTATTTTTAGGTCATAAAAAATACCCATCCTGCAACGTTCAGGGAGCGTTATTATATGATTGCAAAATAATAACCTAAAAATAATCATTAGGGAATGTTCTGTATAAGTTATTTTTAGGTTATTAAATAACCACCCTGCAACATTCTGGGAACATTATTTTATGGTTGCAAAGATTAAAACCTAAAAAGAACGTTCCTTTCTTGGTTCTCAAATTTTTTTTAAATTAAATAAATATCCAAACGGGAACCAAAAACTAACATAACGTTCTGTGTTTGCTGGGATGTAACCCTATCAGCAGTGTAGGATCGGCATGAAGTTTGATCCTACCAATATTTTTGTTTCTGCTATTTATTTTTTAACCAAACTTGTTTGCAAGTTATAATAAGATGTATAAAGGGAAACCTGCTTTTACATATTAACTTTTAGTTGAACTGTTTCATTTATGCTAGTACTGACAAAAGGCTAGAATGTGGGTAAGTAGGAAAACAACACTTATAAATGTTTAGACAACCCTTAACGCACATTTTCCCCAAACACACTCAGTAATTTTGCTACATTGTAAGCAAGAAACTTACCAAAAAAAAAGTATATAAAAATATTCTCAACAAAGGCATTGCATTACTGCTTTATTGTCTTAATATTAAGTATTTGCTTCTTCAAAGTCAACACAGCTTCGCATTGTCTGTGATTACTTCCATTGCTCCAAAAAGCAAAATAGTAAAACATGGTCAACGCAGAGCTCAGAACAGGTTATCAACAAAAGAAAATCCATCTTAAGTCACAGACAAATGGTCTGAACCATGAAAGCGTTCTCTCACTTCTTTAAAATCTATATCCAAGCAAAGTCTGTGTCTAGGTAAGTGATGCATAGTTAAATGGAGCCAATGTCACTTCAAAATCCCCTTTCAAGGAGTAGGTAAGTGGAAATACACATAAGGGGACCATGAATAGACACCTTATAGAAATGATATGTAATTTTACATTCATTGTTTAAAGGTGCATTAATGCCAGTTGCCATAGAGAGTTGTTTTGATAAAAGTACTATTCTGTGCGTAGAAGGAGTCGGAGGGGGAGTGAATCAGATCAGTAGAATCTCAGGTTCAGTTACAGCACAGTACAGCATGAAGCCCATCTCATCAATGTCGTCCTCAGTAAAACCCTGAAACAGATTCACATTAGGTTTGAAGTAACTAGGCAAGATTCCAGTTTCCAAATATCCGATTAGCTCAGTGATCGCCTGCAGGAACCTATCAGCAAATGCTGATTCCGTCCAATCTGTTTCATTTTCACTCATGTGTAGAATGACGTTGCCAAGATGGCTGCCGTTGAGCTTGCGTAGTGAAGGGCAGTTGCAGCACACCGCCTTTAGTGTTTTCAGGCACTTTCTTCTGACCCCCGAGTCTGCTTTGTCAAGATCCGCTATTCTAGCCGTTTCGCTAGTGTATAGGCTCTGGTACCAGACATAGTCGAATGACCCAGTGATCTCTCGTTGCGCCGTAAGCGTCATCTCGCCAAGGCGAACTGTTGGCAACACTGTCATATAGAAGCGTTTTCCACTGTCATAACTGCTTTGAGTTAACCCTTGAATTTCCAGTTTGAGCTCAGGAGACCCAAGCACCGGTCGCACCTCGCACTCCAGGGTTCCGGTCAGCGATGGCCAGTTCATTGATTCCATCACTGTCTTGCCTAGTTGCTCGGAAACAAGCCGCGACGACAAGTATCCACCCAGCAAATGTCGATCCCAGTAGCTCCGCCCCCTCGGGTAGTACTCAAGGTTTTCACGGCGCACCATGCAGTACTGAGGGTGACCCAAAAATGTGTCCTCTCCGGCAATAGGCGTCCACAGACTGGACTCCAACTGTATGAAACACATTTGGAACAAATTTAAATACAATTTCAGGGCCAAGCACATGGCCATTGTCAGGTCAATACCTAAGATCAAAGATCCAACTGCTAAGATTGGAAGGCTTTTCTTAATGTCATCTTAACTAAATATTTTAAAAAGAAAAGTCTTTTTTTAATATATTGTTGATTATATTATATTATAAAGCGATGTCCCAATCAGATTTTTTGTGCCTCCGATCCGATCCAAGTCATTGAATATTGAGTATCTGCCGATCCGACACTTGTATATTCCTAGTGTTTGGTGTACAAATCAAATACATTAAAGTTATTAAAATTTCAATTCAATGTACACAGAGTTGTGCAAAGAGTAAAAGTATCTTTGAGATATATGGGATTTTTTTACACCTGCAAGTAAACAAGTGGTCCACATAGAATCTTGATACCTGTAGGGGCACGATCAAGCAAGCATGGTCGGCTTTAACCACTTGCAGGTTGTCAAGCAATGACCCCGCCAGCATCATGTCTCCCAGTGGCATGCTTGGGTGTTTGAAGTGCAGGAAGGCCTGGATCTCTGTGGCTATATCTAACGCTCTCTGCTGTGCGACAGACACTTCCTCTGCTGACAGACACACGCGTGTTCTGTAGTACTGCTGCAGACGGTCCACAAACGTCATCACACACAGATCCATGCGTTTCCGTCGCTGAGGTGGGTCAGCGTCACAGCGCTGGGGCTCAGGTGAGGGCAGGGGAATGGGTTGGGAAAGCTCCGCTAAACACAAAAAAAAGGATTCGACTTAAAAACAGCATTCACAACCCATTTTAGTTCCATAACATGATATATTTTTTAGTGACGCAGATGTTCAGTAACAATAATGCGTAAATAAAGACCATTAAGACATTAACAAAGTCTTAATAAAGACATTAACCAGTTTGAAAAGTGGAATTAATACATTTAGATGAAAGATTACAAAGTTGTTGTTTTTTTGCACTAGCATGCATAGATGAATCGTGCAGAATAAGACCCTAAATATGGTTAGTTTTGATTTCTTGTTGTCTTTTAGCAACAAGTCTTCTAAATAAAGGTAAGTATGTTCCCAAGTATTTACCTTTCTTGGTTGCGGCAGCAATCTGTTTCATGACCACTCCTTCTATACCCTTGTGCAGCAATTTGGGGGAGGCACTAACCAAGCTTAACTCCTCCCAGCTGTCCGTCATCTTCTTGTCAGGCTTCTCATCAGGAGGCCTACCAGCACGTTCTATCAGCTATGACATCACAGGAAGAGGAGGAGGAGACAAAAAATTTATAAATAGTGCAACAGTCAGGTTCTAGAAGTAAAAAAAAGACCTACTGTGAGCTACAAGCTTTTTTAATTAATGGTATATGCACTCTATAAACAATATAGCATTTGACCAATCAGGACTATGTAGTAAGCAAAAATAATGAATAATCACCCGTTTCACAGCTAATGTGGCAATGCCCAGCACCGCAGCTCCGCCGACCCCCAGCACCAACCGGGCATTGGACAACAGGAAGTCAATGACAACAGCAATCCCATCTTCTCCACGCCTTTTACCAGAATAATACATCACGTCCTCTGTGAGACTGTTTGAAAATGTCAGTAGAGACTTACATGACCATTTGATGTCACATGCACTTCCTCACATATCAGGGTATCTCAATGGTTTTTAGACATCTATCATGATATATTCTGGGCTGGATTATCCAATGGGCATTATGGGCACAGGCCCAGGGGCCCATGCACACTTGGGGCCCAAGCAAGGGGAAGAAAAAAATGTCAAAGTGTCTATTTACACTAAGCGTCTACCTTATTGGCAGAGGCTATTTACACCAGTTCCGCCCACCAATGTCTGGTTGATATAAACAACAGAGGTGTTTCCAATATAATTCAAGACCTTGATTGTGTGTGTGTGTGTCTAGAAGCTTGTGTTCTGCAATTGAACGGCGTATTATTGTGCCATCTCAAAGAGACACAAAATCCCTTTCACTGACTTTTTCATTAACTGTTCCCTCCTGGTGGAATGACCTGCCCAAATCAATCCGAGCAGCTGAGTCCTTTACCATCTTCAAGAAACGACTAAAAATACATCTGTTCCACCTTTATTTGATCCTCTAACTCTAGCACTTTCTATTCTATTTTATCTATTCTATCTACTTGTTTTTCTTTGTGTGTGTGTATTTTATATGTATACACCTTGCTACTTGTACTGCGTTAGGCTAACCGAGACTTGTCATTTGCACTTATATATTGTTGCTCTTTTGTTAGTATTGACAGCTTTTATTGTCCTCATTTGTAAGTCGCTTTGGATAAAAGCGTCTGCTAAATGACTAAATGTAAATGTGTGTGTGGTGTGGGGGTGCTTTTACAAGACATTGTGCCCAGGGGCGTCTAAATTCTTAATCCGGGCCTGGATATATTCATGGTACTAAGAATAGCACTGACCTTTTGTGTACCATAAATAGTAATCATTCAGTATCACAGTACTATATATTAAAGTGATATTATTGATTTAACCATCCGATACCATTATGTACCAAAGTACCATCACAGTACTCAGTACTATAAAGGTTAAGACACACAGTGCTCATGTGTGCTACATGACAGACCAGGCGACAGAAGCCTGTGGATCAGAAATAGCCTTGGATCTGCATGAACTCAGACTGGGAAGGGGGGTTTTACCAGGTCTAAATTTAGACCCATGTGGCACAGTAACTCTCCACTTATTCATATGATCATTTTGTGATCCTGACTTAGAGTTCAGTCTCCATCTGTGATCTACAGATTACACTAGTAAGACATGGGTGAATATCTCATGGATACCTTTTAGGCCTAATATTTGTATTCCAAATGGATTTACACGCTTGCCAAGAACTACATTCCAAAGCTGTTTTCCAAAAAGTAACAGAATGTTCTTGGCCAGATCACAGACAAATTCTACATTCTTTTATTATGGTTATTTGGGTAAAACCAACTGAGTTAGTACACATTAGATGACACGAGGCCTGCATATAGATGGACTTTAAACCCCAGATAACATTAATTGTGTTTTCAGATAAGACAGTGCAAAACAACTTGACATTAACGTTACCAGTGGTTTAAATCTGTCACGTTTACAGACTTGCTGTTTCACACGTATAACGATGCATGATGTTTTTCCTTGCTAAATATGATATTAAATCAGGCATAACTATACTCGAATACTTGTTTTCAGTTGTTCAAAATGGTTGAGAATCAAACTACACTGAATCAAACAATAGTGTTTCGCTGTGTTATTAGCGTTTGCTAACATCACCAGCTGCCGAATGCAGAAAACTAACACGCTTGGTGATATTAAACAATCATCAGTTTATAAGCACCGTTAAACCGCTAACTTACCTTTATAAGGTAGTGTCAATTCAGAGCCATTAGAATATCAAATTCAGTAGTTTTGTCTAGCACGTACTTGCCCTCTCACTAAACAAACACCTCATACGTCACTATCCAGCTGATTGACGTGCATCTGGACCAATGAGATGACAGTATCAATACACGTCAGAGCTTCACAGTGAAGAAGCGTTGCTTTTTTTCTACGGAGTTTCTATACACGGACAAAAAGGGAAAAAATACAGTTATTCATTTTAACAGGGCGGCTCCACGGTATATATATATATATATATATATATATATTT